ATGGGAGACCACCCACCACTCCGAGAGCTCCAAGCGTTATGCAATCGAGTCCTGTTTATTTCAAATACAGTAATGCCATAATTGGAATTTATGGGACAATATATGAAAAACTACACCATTTCTGATATATGTGTATTGTTAAACATTATCCAACATCGAAAGAGCTTTCCAAAGATTCAAAACACGATAGACTTTGGTGATTTTCGACCTTCTGGATCATATGACTTTATTGGTCTATAGCTCTGTGAATATGTATTATTAGGTTATAGGTGTAACTGAATTAAATGATCAGTGTATAATTTCCTTTCCATTGAAACCAACCATGTTTTATGTGGAGTGTCAGCCATCTTTAAATTCAAAATGATGTGGATAAAAAAAAATGGCACCTAACTTTTTTGAATTCAGCAAACCAAAAATGACAATGTTTTAGCCAATAAAATCCATTTTGGCACAAAAATCTAGCTGGATTACATAGCGACGTACTAATAACAAAAACTGTGGACCTTCCAAGTGGATATAAAATTATATTCGGACATTAATTTCGCTTAAATTAGGCATCTTCAAGTTTATTAACATCCTGTACTCATTTTTGACCAAAAACAGCTGGATGGGTGGGCTGTAAGCCCCAGGTTTCCAATAATAATTATTTTTCACTCAAAAATTTGCTTTGAAGTCTTAGTAGATTATAGTACTGTAAAATCAAATATGTTTTGATTTCGGTAACAGTAACATTTATTTCATAATGGCCAAAACAATTTACAATATTGAAACGAAACGCATTAATAATTATATAAAACAGAAACATGTGTATTACAAATTCTAATAGATAAACATGTGTGTAAAATAGCACAGTGTAATCTGGTAACTAGATATATAATTACTTGCATCATTAATGTTTTGATGGTTATACATATTATGGTGGCTACCTCTGAGATTACAAAGAGTGGGTCTAAAAACAGTAGTAAATGACCTGTTTTAAGTCTTCAGTTGTACTTTTGAGATGATGAACGTCTTCTAAAAAAACATATTGAAACAGAATATTGGTTAACAGCATATACCGAAACATGACATTAATGAGGAAACTTTACAATAAGAACAAGTTGCAATATCAATTCAAAAAAGGGATTGGAAAAGGGCTGGCAAAATAAGCTCAATATCTCTCACAATACTGTACTAATATTTATTATGTAAGAAACTATAATCCAGTTCAGCTTTGATGAAATGTAAGGATTGCATTATGGCAATCATTCTTTTTCTTGGAATTCTGTCTTCCTTTGGAATGCTTTGCCTATTACAATCCGACAGGCAACATGTACTTTTCTTAAATTTCTCCTAGCATTTTAATTTTTATTGTTAAGCGCATTGAGGCTTTAGCATAATGTGCTATATAAGCCAAAATTATAATTATTATTTATTATTATTATTATTACCTTCTCATACATCCTGAGTAAACAAATAAGCAGATCTTTTGAAGTAAAGTTCTTGATAATGGACCCAAACGGTAAATTGATAAAAACACATTTTAAGAAAAGAGCTAAGGATTAAATGGTAAACATGTTTTGGGTGTTACTCTTCAATCCATCTTCATTACAAACACAAAACAAACCAATAGACTCGCCATTCTTAACTACGATTACTAATAGTTATATACTCAGGCATATCGAAAAATATATATACATAAAATTACTCGTTTACAGCAAGAGAGCAGAATTGAGATCAAAGTTATTAGAAAACAAAAACAAAAAAAATTACTGTACAATTTAATAGATAAATGAAATATTTACACATTAAGAATTAGGGCCTACATTATTAAAAATAAAATTACATTACAAAAGAAAATACATTAACAATATTAATAATTTAAGAAAAAACACATCAAAAATATTCAATATAGAAAAAGAATTATATAAAAATATAAATAAATAGTTTACAGAGTTTTGGCTCTATACTATGGGTTGAGAGGTCAAGGAATATATATATATACACACACACACACACACACA